TTGGCCACCGAGAAAGGTCGTTTCCAGGATTAGATGGCTGTGCACCCAATTATGCATTTCAGATAGAAGGAAAGTGAATTCGTATAAACTTTGAACACCTGTTACGATATGGTCTCTCCTGGGGTAGTTTTGATCCCGGAGTGGACCCCTTTTCAAAAGCAGGCAAAAGTGCAACTTTTATGATAAAGGACTTGGTTTTCAATTTTGAACAAGCGGTCCTCACCCACAAATTCCCACAGATTCCCCTTTGTCCTGAAAAAAATAATAATAAGAGAACCAAGTTTGTTCAGCACAATCCAGGGCGTCAGCACTAGGAGAAACTCAATAGAAATTAAAAGATTATTCAGACATTCACCAGCAAGCCTCATAGCTTAGACAAACAAGGTTGTTTAGCCCATGTCTTATAAGTAGATCCACTTGGAACCCAACTTATAGAGAAATTCCCCAATGCAGCTCCTGACTTTTTTTTCAGAGAGAGAGAGGGGGGAGGGAGAAGGAGAGGGAGAAGGGGAGAGGGAGAGAGAGAGAATAGATAAAAATATATAGAGAGAGAGAGATAAGAAAGAGTGGGAGCGAGAGAGAGAGAGAAAAACATAATAGAGAGAGAGAAAGAGAGTTGATAGAGAGAAATAGTCAGAGATAGAGATGAAAGATGAGAAAGAGAGAGAGAGAGAGAGAGAGAGGTAGGTAGGTAGGTAGATATAGATAGATAGATAGATAGATAGATAGATAGATAGATAGATAGATAGACAGAGACAGATAGGAAAATAGAAAGAAAGATGGATAGATAGATAGATAGATAGATAGATAGATAGATAGATGATAGATAGATAGATAGATATTGATATATAGATGTAGATGTAGATAGAAAGATAAATAGAGATAGATAGATAGATAGAGATAAGAAAGAAAGAAAGAAAGAAAGAAAGAAAGAAAGAAAGAAAGAAAGAAAGAAAGAAAGAAAGAAAGAAAGAGAAATGAAGAAAGATCTCTCCAAAACCCTCTGCATCTACCTTTGCCCAGAAAGATCTTCCTGGGAGTGAAGACGATTGGATGAAGCCATGCTAGGAATCTCTTCACCAACAGAGCACTACCAACTTAATCCAAGTGAGCTTCAGAGAACCACAAGACCTCAGAAACCAACGATGAGCAAAAGAAAGTCATCTAAAAGACTTTTGCTTAGAAGAATAGCTTCCGAGAGTTCCTAGCACCTTGCCTACCAGAGGCTTTGGAACCGCGACCTAGGATCGCTTCGTGAAAATACCCCACACAATGGGTGTCTTGAGATAGATGGAGCCAACTTCTACCCCCACCCCCACCCCCAGCCTGGCACACTCTCCTCCTGTATCACATTGCAGCAGAGTTCCTGGCTTCGAGCGAGCGCGGCATGACAAAAACCCCACTAGACTAACCCTCCCTCATATAATTTTTCAACCTGGCACCAGGGCAGCGGTGGCCCTCCCCGGCTCTCTCGAAACCAAGCCATCCCAGGAGTAAAGCATGCTGGGATTGGTAGTCCAGCCACATCCAGAGGGCCGTGGCGTTCTCCTGCAAGGGACGAACCAAGTTCGGGAAGGTGATCCACCAAACTTTTATGAAGTTAGCTCTAGTGTCTGAACTTGCCAGCAGCCAAGGATCCCTGGCGCAGACGTCTCTCTCTCTTTCTCTTTCTCTCTCTCTCTCTCTCTCTCTCTCTGTGTCCTCCCGATTGATGAGTAAATGGAGCTCCTTAGTTAGCTCTGATGAAAGCCAGCACCACGTTTCCCCCCTTCTCACCATCAGCTTGGTTAAGCATTTATAGGTCTCTGACCCAGTGGCCCTTTGGACTTCAGGATGTCCAAAGGGATTAGCAAAGGTCAGCTCTGATTATTGTTGCTTTTTTTTTTTTAAGGAAGGAAGGCGGTCAGGTGAACCCAGAAAAGAGAGATTGGTTCTTTCCGGTTGCCACGAAAGGCCAAACTCACCCAGTTCAAGCTAGGTTTAACCCCTCGTCTTCTAAATTCTCACCAGCAGCACCCTCCCGCTGGTGTTTTCTGCTCCTCTCAGTCTCCAATGGGGGCAACTTTGGGATCGGAAGGAAAGCCAGCACGCTTCTGGAATCTAAGTCTAACGTAAAACCTGGACGGGCTTCCACGTAATGCCCCGGCCTTCCGGGCATGGCACGACACGTCACTGCAATCTGGGCCAAATCCCCACGTTCTCAGCCCTGGACAGAAGCAAACTCAGCTCGTATGGACAGCCGGAGTAGCATAGAGAGTGCCTTTTAGGTTATTATTCATCTTATATGTCAGATATAAATAGCGGATTATAAATAACTGCCATTAGTCTTCCCCCCTTCTCCCCTTCCAGGAAAAGAGCCAACCGTCTCCATACTTCTACATGACTTGGATACCTTTGGACCTGCAGTGATCAGTACCTTCCCTGGCCTGCTCCTGCTCCAGATGATCTTAAATGCTTCCAGCTCTAAGGAACCTGTCAATGGGTCATCCAGAGAACTTGATCTCTTTTTTTATCCCCCCCTCTCCCTCCCTCCCCCCCTCTCTCTGTGTGTGTGTGTGTGTGTGTGTGTGTGTGTGTGTGTGTGTGTGTGTGAAGAGAAATACAACAGAGTTCAAATAACAGTTCTGGAATTAACTCATACTGTCACCAATCTGTTTAATTAGGGAGAAGAGTTCATCTCTCTCTGTCTGTCTCTCTCTCTGTCTCTCTGTCTGTCTGTCTCTGTCTCTCTCTGTCTCTGTCTGTCTCTCTGTCTGTCTCTCTCTCTCTGTCTCTCTGTCTCTCTCTCTCTCTCCCCTCCGAGCCTAATTCCCAGCAAAAGGTCCCCTGTTCTTTCCCCAGAGAGGTTTCTCATGGGAAAAAAGGCAGCAGAGGAAACAGACGAGGGAGGGAAGAAGGATAAGTGGTGAAAGAGAAAATGAACACTCCAATGATAAAGCCCCATTTTGACCCGCTAGTCAAACCGTCAGCTCAAAATCGACCTAGACAGGATTGCAAACTGTTTTGGGGCAAGGTTAAAGGGTAACAGAGGCCTGTCCCAGTTGCGATAAGGCAAAAACATCTCTCTCTCTCTCTCTCTCTCTCTCTCTCTCTCTCTCTCTCTCTCTCTCTCTCTCTCTCTCGTAAATTGGAGATTGAAATGTTCTGATCCACCCTAGGAGGATGGGCACTCCCTTTCAGCCCTATCATTCTATGTTCTGACCCTAGGAGGACTAAGATGGCATAAGGACCCCTGCTTTGGGAAGTGGGTTAGACTAGAAGACCTCCAAGGTCCCTCCCAGCCTTATGACGGTATAACTATAGGAAATGGTTTTGCCCTATAGCAGATTAATTTTGTTCTGTTGCTTCTGACTCCTTCGAGCCTCTCCAACGTCTCAAAGATGTTTCTCTTCCCGACACCGGAGGAAAAATATTTATGTGAAGAGCCACTGTTGACTCCTCAGACACAAGCGTACATGGGGCTTACTGGAAGGATCTAATAAACCAGGAATGGCAGTTGGCTTCGTGCAAAATTTTCCACCTGTTTGGCAGCCGATCGAGGAGAGGGGAGGGGCGTACTATTGTTATTTTAAGCTTTGTAATGTTACCCCTTCCCAGCTCAGCTGATTAAAACAAAGGCATTGCAAGAAGAGGCAGGAAAATCACAGGGCTGGCAAGTATGGCGTGCGCCAACTGCATCGGAAGTGTTTTACCATGCCCTTCTACGCAGTTTGGCTCGTTCGTTCCTCCGGAATCTTCCTTAAACATTCCTTTTGGGAGAAGCTCGAGGGGGGGGAGGAAGGTGATAAGCAGACTTTGGCTCTGAAGCCCATTCACTTGAGCAGAAGAGGAAGTTTTAATCTGTATATTCCTGCTTGTTAAAGCCAGACTTTGGAACTGGTTATCTGGACAGAGTCATTTGTCTTTCTTTGGGAGATTGGAAGCTTGGAGACTTTAGCCTTGAGACTCTGGATTTTTCCGGTTTAACCTAATTCTAGGCAATCCTTCTGGATTGTTCTGTTTGTTCAATGGTGCCTCTGCGGCTATTAAACATCTATTGCTGTTTGGATAGTTTTACACCTCGATCTCGTCGCCATCTCCTTCGGTTCTTTAGAGCTGGGCACTAGGGTATTTATTTTATTTATTGGTTTGGAGAAGCCATGTTTAAGCTGGGCTGTACCTGATTGCTATAAAGCAGTTAGTCTGAGAAAGCTAATTTGCTCCAGTGGTTAAGGCACTAGCCTAGAAGGCAGGAGTCCCTGAGTTCAAGTCCTACCTTAGATATGAAAGACAGCTGGGTGATTTGGGGCCAATCACCAGGAGATGGTGAGTTCTAGTTCTGCCTTAGGCATAAAAGCAGACTGGAGAGAGAGAGAGAGAGAGAGAGAGAGAGAGAGAGGCAGAGAGAGAGAAAGACAAAGAGACAAAGACAGACAGAGAGAGAGAGACAAAGAAAGAGAGAGAGAGAGAGAGAGAGAGAGAGACAGACAGACAGACAGACAGGCAGAGAGAGACAAAGAGAGAGAGGGGGAGAGAGAGAGAGAGAGATAACTCAGTTCAACCCACCCCAAAGGACTGTTGTGGTGGAGAAAATAGGAGGACCAAGGCTGTCAGATATTTTCGCCGCCTTGAGTTATTTACAAAAATATTCAATCGTAAATACATAAAATCCAAGTGCAATCAGCAACAGCAACACATACTGTCATAATTTTGCGCCAAATTTCACTCAACCAACGATTCAACCTCCGCAAGATTCAAACGGACCACCTTTATAATTGCTACACTTTTCTAACTGGGAGGATGCTGTGTGGTGTTCAAGGCAGCTTGTTTAAACCCTGAATGGGTCAGATCTCAGCAACTACGTCTTCCCCTTCTTCTGAGTTTGGGAGTTTGGGGGGAGAGGTGGGGGGTGGAAACCAGCTCCTCTGGGAGCCCACCCAGTTGGGCCCCTCAACCCAATGCAGGAATTCAATCCGGGGAGATGAAGCAGATGGTGCCTGCTCCTCTGTTTTTTCACTGACCTGGGCAAGTGGTTATCGTCAAAGATGAAAGTCTGATTGGCGTAGCATCCTGGGCTGGGCTGGGCTCCCGGCCTGGTGTCCTGGCCAGGGGGGTGGCAGACTCTGGCTGGACCACACTTCTCCTCCAAAGACGTCATTGCTGTGGTTTGGGTGCCTCCAAGTGTCCTGCAAGCGGACGGATTCTCCTGGACATATCAAGAGCTGGGCAGCCGGCCAGAGGTGGAGTCTTTCTGCCCACTGTGGGGCTGTGCTGCTCAATGTCATCTCCCCAAGCCAAGCCTCTCCTGGTTCAGCTGCAGCCTGCCAAAAGCGCCGGGAAGTTTGAACCAGGATTTGGGTATGCGGCCAACAGATCTCTGCCTCTAGACAGACCAGGATGGTGGGAAAGGTGGAAGGAACATTTTGGGGAAGCTGGTTGAGGGCAGGGAGGCTTACCTCTCCGTCATTCACCATCGCTGCCGGGCGGAAGGGGCGAAAGGTGGACGTCTCCCCCTCCAAGCTGCTCCATCCATGGTCAGGGAGATGCTCCAGAGATGCCAGTTCCCACTTTGCACAAAATTATCCATGTGAGGGGCTCCTTGTCTTCTGGCGTCATCTAGCGGCCGACCAAAGGAGAGATAAATTTAATTGGCTTTTTCTTGTAACCCTCCAGGGTGGAAGAGCCTTAAGACCTGGTTAGGTCATCTGGCCTGGGGGGTAGAGGTGGGGAGAAGGTCCCAGGGGTTAACTCCCAAGATGGCCCCATTGTTGTGGATAATATTTACTCTCTCCTGTGCTTGAGGGAGCTTTGTAATCGTGTGAACGATGACTGTTTTATATGTTTTGAATAACAATTGGTTTTTATAGGTTTTACTTCGTTATTGCACGCTGCCCAGAATCACTTTGTGTGAGATGGCCAGCCATGTAAATTAGAGATAGAGATGGAGATGGAGAGGAGAGGGGGTGGAAGAGAGAGAGAATGTATAAGATAACATGGATGGATAGATAGAGATGGATGGATAGTAAAACAGAGAGATGGATGAAAAGACATTCAGATGGAGAGTTAGATAGACAGACAGACAATCAGACAGATAGATGATAGATAGAGATAGATAGATAGATAGATAGATAGATAGATAGATAGATAGATAGATAGATAGATAGATAGATATTGATGGATAGATTAAAAATGGAGAGAAAGATGGATGAAAAGACAAATGGACAGATGGAAGGGAAGATGGATTGATAGAGATAGAGACAGACAGACAGACAGATGATAAAGTTGAGAAGAGAAAGAAAGAAGAAGGGGATAAAGAGATGAGAAGTAGCTGACCCCATTCAACTTTGGTTTCAACCCTGTTCAAATGTGGATCCATCCTGATGCCTCCTACTCATTTACTCCACTCAGAAAACCAGCTTTTAAAAAAAAAAAAAAAAAAAATCACAGCTATATGATTAAGGACAGCCACTTTATTCGTTTGTTCACTTTGAAAACACTCTCTGTCACTTGGGTGATCTTGAAAAATTCACCGGCTTTGACAATAAATGGGATCCTGCCTGATGCATTGAAGCCTTGGCCAGGATCGTTAACACTCAAGAACAGGAAAATAAATCAAAGCAGCCCAAGCGGCAGAGATGCAATAAAGTTTTTCAAAGGGTCCCCTTTTAAAATAATTATCTCATAGAGAGCGACTATAAAAACTATCCAGGGAAGAAGATATACAGGATGCTGCTGTGCTGCCAAACGCTCATTTGGGGAGAGACTGGAACATAATAGTTACTGCTCATTCACAAACTGATTACAATATTTTCCTAGCCTTTTGAAAAGCAACATCATAGCTTAATAATAGAATAACAGAGTTGGAAGGGACCTTGGAGGTCTTCTAGTCCAACCCCCTGCTCAAGCAGGAGACCCTATTCCATTCCGGATAAGTGGCTGTCCAGTCTCTTCTTAAAAACCTCCAGTGTTGGAGCATCCACAACTTCTGGTGGCAAGCTGTTCCACTGATCAATTGTTCTCACTGTCAGGAAATTTCTCCTTAATTCTAGACTGCTTCTCTCTTTGATTAGTCTCCATCCATTGTTTCTTGTCTTGCCTAGTGATGCTTTGGAAAGTAGTTTGACTCCCTCTTCTTTGGGGCAGCCCCTGAGATACTGGAAGGCTGCTATCATGTCTCCCCTAGTCCTTCTTTTCATTAAACTAGACATACCCAATTCCTGCAACTGTTCTTCATATGTTTTAGCCTCCAATCCCCTAATCATCTTTGTTGCTCTTCTCTGCACTCTTTCCAGAGTCTCTACATCTTTTTTATAATATGGTGACCAAAACTGGATGCAGTATTCCAAGTGTGGTCTTACCAGGGCAGTACCAACACTTCACGTGATCTTGATTCTACCACTCTGTTAATGTAGCCTAGCATTGTGTTGCCTTTTCTGATGGTTTCCTTTATCCTCTGTCACACTGCTATTTTATATTGGGCTGACCCTAATGCTACATATATAAAAAAAAACTGCTATTGAGTCCATAATCATTTAATTCCAACATTTTTATCTTCATCTTCTGAGATAAAGTCTGCAAAACTTTCACTAAATCTAATTTGGGCGCTTTTAAAGCTGGTCATTGGCTTCAAAACAAGGTCGACAGGATGCACACAAAATCTTTAGAAGATTGTGCTGAATTTAAAGTTTGGGGAGGGGGGAATACCCCCCCCCAATCTCCTGAATAGAATTTCACAGCTTGAAAACAAGGTAATAAATTTACAAATCAATCTGAACAAATTAAACATCGTAAACCCAACAGGGCGAATACTTTGCACCCTAGAGTGTATTTACTCAATTTATGCACCACTCATCTCACACTGCAGAGCAACTGTGGATGGTTTACAATCAAAATAATAAATATTAAAACATTAAATACGTCGTTCCTAGGCGAAGTGTTAAATAGAATAGTGTCGAGTTATGCATGTTTATGCTAGTCACTGTCTGGGAGTGGTACATGTGCATTTTTAATTTTGTTCCACTGGCTTTGATGCATAGATTTCTTTTCCTTGTAATCTGATCGCTTGACCATAAAAATGAAGATTTATCGTTGCTGTGGTTATACATTCTCCGGCTTCCTGCTTGAACTCTATTTACTGCATAAAATTATTCACGCTGCTTTCTTGATAGTTGCATGTTAAGCGCTTGAAAAGTTCTTCTCCGGTTTTTATCTTTTTAAAATATACTACTATATCCTGGAGTTTCCTACAGTTCTGGAATTTCTTAATGGAATACCAATCAAAGTTAGACTCCAGCCGCCAAAATCAGCAAGTGGCCAGCAGCAGCTGTGGCTGGACATATTTTGCTTGGGATTAAATTCCAGAGACTCTAATGGGTCGATGATTCGTGGCGCAATTCCGTATCTTTGCCTCCCCTTTTCTGTCCACGTGTTTGTGTTTGTGGCATGTGCCGACAGTAGAAATCCATTCAGTTGGTTGGCATCTGTCAACACCTCATTCTCCAGCCTTCTAACTTCTCCAGCCTTCTAAGAGGTCCCCGTAGCAGATCTTCTGACAGGCACTTTTCAGGAGAAAGCGAGCCAAGGGGAAATGGATGGACAATCTTGCAAGCGGAAGGCGTGCCCGTTAAGAAAGGCCTCCTCAGATAGATCATGATCCTACTTCTGCAAAGTAGAGTCTAACCCTTGGGCCAAGTGCCCAAGCCATGCTAGCTTGCCAGCTTTTTCTTTAAAAAAAAAAAAAGAGAGAGTGAGATGCTTCTGGCTTTGTCATTTGAGCTGCTTTGGTAAGGAAAGAGAGAGGCCAAGGACTTTGCCTTGACCACTTGGATCACAACACATGTCCTGCTATGAACATGCACACAAGATGACAGACAATTTAAATTTATTGGAAAAGAAAATGTTTTCTTTTGTCCAATTTATTGTGCAAATCACGCCATTTCGGAAGAAGCATTCCTTTGGAAAACATTCCTGGATGAATCAAATCACCAAGCAAAGATTATTAGGATATTAGCAAAGAGTGCAAACACAGGCACACTTTGCTGGGTGTGAGTGTATAAATCTATTTGACTACTGGGAACCATTCAGTTGCTTTATTTTAAATCTGGAGCATCCAAGATTATTAAACTTAGAGAACACCAATCTGAATTTAGAGGAGAATTTTTTTTTTTTTTGGAAGCAGGACAATTGATGTAATTGCAGTCAAACTCCTAGGACCAAGAAGTATTTTTAGGATCACAGGCAATGTGGTTAAAACAAAAAAAGAAACATAGTGGTAAATAGAATTTTTAGCCCTTTTTAGAATAGCAATAGCACTTGGGCTTATATACCACTTCATGGTGCTTTACAGCCCTCTCTAAGCCGTTTACAGAGTCAGCTTCTTGTCCCTTGCAACAATCTGGGTCCTCATTTTACCAGCCTCGGAAGGACGGAAGGCTGAGTCAACCTTGAGCCGGTCAGGATCAAACTCCTGGCATTGGGCAGAGTTAGCCTGCAATACTGCATTCTAACCACTGCGCCACCACAGTTCAATCACTAAATATGGAGGTGTATATAGGTGTCTCTTAACCAAAATATGATAGTGTGTGAACATATCTGGACTCAACACACACCTATTTTGCTTCTGTGAATTCCGAGCTGTTAGATTTTTCATTTTTGTGTTTTAACGGTTGTGAAATGGTTCACCGCCCAGAATCATTTGGACTGAGACGGATGGCTATAGAAACTGAATAAATAAAATAAATAATCTTGTTTCGGGTATGGATCCTCCGCTCTTTTGTCCTGCCACTGCTCAGTTCTAGCTAAAGAACTCACCCTACCTATCGTGAACCTAGAACTAGAACTTCTTGTTCATCTTCTGGTTATCTGCTCCAAGAGGACTCAAAGGATTCCACATTTTCGGTGGCCATTTGGATCACGGAGACGCCTCCACCTGGGTGACGGCTTTTCGTGTTGCCAAAACGTCTGCAACAGAAGGAACAAGGGGAACAAGTGTTAACCTCCAGAAGCTTGTCGGCAAAGCGTGTTTCGCACAACAGTGGCACATATTACTACTATTATTATTATATATCGAAGGTGGACATCTAGAATTCACCTAGGTGCCCATCGAATATTGGTAGCTCAGGGTTGAACTGTGGGGTCCTTGGTGCTTTCTGAGTTTGGTGGGGGTATCCTTGCAGACGTTTCATGACCCAACTAGAGAAAATCATCAGTGCTAGAAGGGAGTGGGTTTTGTGACATGGAGGAGGAAAAGGAGGACAGTGGGGTCCTTGGTGCTGAGTATGATTCTTTTCTAATTGCAAACATTTCATTACCCAACTAGGGAACATCATCAATGCTAGAAGGGAGAAGAGGAGGAGGATGACTTTGGAGGTCCTTGGTGCTTTCTAAGCTTGGCTGTTTTCTTGCACACATTTCATTACCCAACTAGGGAACATCATCAGTGCTAGAAGGGAGTGGGGATTGCTCTCTCCCCCTTATAGCCCTGAAGATGCTACCTGAAGGGTAGGTTGCAAAAAGGTCATAAAATCAGGCACAACTGCCTTGCTTAGCGACAGAAACTTTGGTCCCCATTGTGGACCACCTGTACAAGAGACGAATTATCTTCCTCTCTATTTAATGGATTCCCCCCCCCCCGTTTTTCTAACCCCTTCCAACCTGCAGACTGCAGGCTGAGGAGCAACAGAGCAAAAAAATACAGAATTCTGAAGAAGGGGGAAAAAAACAAAACCAAATCCGATTGAGCATCTCTGCAAAGTGACACGAAGACTACCTCCACGCGTTGAGGTCCAGGTCAAAGGCTTCCACCGTGGAAACGTGAACGATGCCATCATAGCCGCCGATGGCTAGGAGACACCCATTGATAGCAGCAAGATTTACCTGCAGTTCCACAATTTAAAAAAAAAGAGGATTAAGTCTTTTCTTCTCAAACCCTTAATTGGGTGCTGTCTATCAGCCGCCCCCAACCTTTGGGGCACCAGGGACCGGTTCCTTGGAGAGAGATTTTTGTGGTTTCACGTGCTGCCTGCATCCCGCAAATGAGGCTTCGCTTGTTTGCCCCGATCGGTTTCTGGCAGAAATTTTGGATTCAATTGTAGTTGCAAGGCAAGGACTACCTGTATGTTCCAATCTGGCTCTCCTTACCTTACTCCTTTTTGACCTCATGGGCCTAACTGGCGTCCATCGGTTAGTGGAGGGATCAAAGCGCTCAGCGCTGCAGAGTTCGGTCAATTCATCCTGCCCACCGACGGCATAGATCTTGCCTTGCAAGGCAACACAACCCAGGTTTTCACGACAGCTGCGGAGCGGAGGGCAGGTGGCCCACTCGTCTTCTCTGGGATCGTAGCGCTCAACTGAAAGAGGCAAGGGTGGAATATCCTGGGCTCTTGATCTTTGTGTTGCCAATTGTCACTTTAGGGCAGGGCAATTAACTGTTTCCAAAGCGGAAAGGGACAGTCTGTGTCCCCAAAAGTCATAGTTCTGTGTAAAAACAACCTGAAAGGACTAGACTGCTTTTTGAACAGGAAGCGGGCGGTATAAACTCCTATGAACAGAATCACAAAGGTGGAAGGGACCTTGGAGGTCATCTAGTCCAACCCCCTGCTCAAGCAGGAAACCCTATAGCATTTCAGACCAATGGCTGTCCAGTCTCTTCTTTAAAAACTCCAGGGTTGGAGCATTCACAAATTCTGGAGGCAAGTTGCATTGCATTGCATGGTACTGTATTATATTATTTATTAAGAGAATAACAGAGCTAGAAGGGACCTTGGAAGTCATCTAGTCCAACCCCTCTGCTTAAGCAGGAGATCCTATACCATTCCAGACAAATGGCTGTCCAATCTCTTCTTCAAAAACGTCCAGTTTTGGAGCACTCACAACGTCTGGAGGCAAGGTGTTCCACTGGTTCATTGTTCCCACTGTCAGGAAATTTCTCCTTAGTCCCAAGTTGCTTCTCTCCTTGATTAGTTTCCATCTGTTGCTTCTTGTCCTGCCTTCAGGCACTTTGGAGAATAGCTTGGCCCCCCCTCTTCTTTGGGGCAGCCTCTCAGATATTAGAACGCTGCTATTATGTTACCCCTGGTCCTTCTTTTCATTAAACTAGACAATTCCAGCAACCGCTCTTTGTATGTTTTAGCCTCCAGTCCCCTGATCATCTTTGTTGCTCTTCTCTGCACTCTTTCCAGAGTCTCTACATCTTTTTTATATCGTGGCGACCAAAACTGCATGCAATATTCCAAGCGTGATTTTACCTAGGCATTATAAAGTGGTATTAACGCTAAAATGGTATTGAATGTTGGAGATGAAATTCAGAAGGACGAGGATTAACTAGACAGTTGTGGTTTTGTTCCACGATTTCCATATTTGGGGTTGAAATCAAGCCCAGAATTGCTAAAACCAGATTGATTGTTCTCTGTTATGTATTGACGTGTTCCTCTTGGCTACGTCTTGGGTCTCTGTGATCAATAATTTCCTACTTTGAATTGATACCCTTTCATATGTCAACCCCCCCCCCCGGAGTTTTATATAACTGGAGTTATTTGATTCTTTTCTAGTGAAGTGGCAAGGAAAATTACTTTTGAAACAGCGTTCTGCCCATAAGGTCATTTTCCAGAATTTCTTTTCACAGTTTATCTTTTCCACTATTGCATTTATCTATTTTGACATTATACTGCGTTTGTTAATACAAGCGTAGGCATCTTTTTGTTAACTAATTGCCTGCTCTAAATTCTTTCGTTAATTAGCTTAATGTAATAATTACCCAGCCATGCACGCTACTGTAAACCAAGCGTGATTAGAATTTGGAAAGCTTTTTTCCATCCTTCATCACACCCAGCCTACAGAAACCCATCAGTCAGAAGCCTGGATTTCAATTAACGTCACAGATACATATAATCATTTTTCTATTTTTAATGTTTGTGTGAGGGGAGCAGATAGAAGGAGAGAGGCAAAGATTCTAGGAGACCATAAAACACTTCCACAACACTGTAGCAAATTACAAATTAACCCACCAATTATTTTCACTCTTCCCTTTGCTGCCATTAATGCCAAAATAATAATAATAATAGAGAAATTATAGAACATGCACTGTAGGACATCTTAGTCAAGGCTACGTTGGCTTCAGCTCAGAGAGAGAAACTGGAAAGTTTTGAAACAGAATTCAAGTAACTTAGGGGAAAATTCCTGACAGGGAGAACAATTAATCAGTGGAACGGAAGTTGCCTCCAAACGTTGTGGATGCTTCATCCCTGGAGATTTTTGAGCAGAAATTGTTCAAAATGCTATAGGGTCTTCTGCTCATCAAGCAGGAGGTCAGACTAGACGACCTCCAAGGTCCCTTCCAACTCTTGTTATTCTGCTTTAATGGTCTTGGAATGGAACAGGAACTAATTTAGCCCACAGCCAGGATATACCTGAACATAAGGGAGAATAGCCATCGGAACCCCCAACGGCATAGAGATATCCATCCAGCGTGGCCAACCCCAGGCCTTTTCGGCGAGACTTCATAGGTGTCAACTTCTGCCATCTGTCCAGCTCAGGGTCATATCTGCAAGGGCGAGAAAGTAGAGGATTCTGCAAAACGGGCAGTCCAAGTGTAGAGTGTGCTTCTCAAATCGGCATCCCAAGTGGCCTTACCTTTCCAACGTGTTGAGGCAAACCAGCCCATCGAAGCCGCCGGCGCAATATAAGTAACCGCCGAGTTCAGCCATCGCTGCTTCTTGCTTGGGTTCACTAAGAGGGGCCACATCTCTCTTCCACTCATTTGTTTCAGGCAAATATCTATCCGGGAAGAAGAAAGAAAGATGGAGGAGAGGTTCTGGGCGTGCAAGGGGGGGGGGAGTGTTTCCTCCCACCCAAAGGAAGAAGAGGAAACACAGACCCAAAGTAAGGACTTGCCCAACAAGACGGAAGTTTTTTAAGAAGAGATTGGACAGCCACTTGTCTGAAATGGTACAGGGTTTCCTGTCTGAGCAGGGGGTTGGACTAGATGATCTCCAAGGTCCCTCCCAACTTTAGTATTATTGTTGTTGTTGTTGTTAAGATTGCAGAGGAAACAGAAACCATGCTAATTTGAATTTCTGGCTTAAATCAGAGGGAACCAGGTTAATCTTTCAACAAAGTGCTCCGATTTCTCCAAAACGGCCTCCGCAGCAAACAGGGGCTTAAAATTGACACATCTTTGACCCAAGATTATATTCAGCTGGCAGACGAGCCCAATCAGCACTCCGCCACAGCCTTTACGGAATGAACCGGAGACGTTGAGCTGGGCTCCGACAGAGCAGCGCCCCCCCCCCCAAGTAATCCATCAGACCTAACAGGAGTGACGAGGTGCTAAATGGATACCAGGGAGGTCAGGACAAGAAGGAATTCTCCTTCGGTTGTCAGTCAAGACACACTTGTGAGTTGCAGGCCCTTTGCTAAGAAGAAGATTGACAAAGGGCAGAAAGAATAAGTACCCGAGTCTCTTCCCATATTCTTGATTAACGAACCCAGGAAGGCAACATCCCGCTCTGCCAAATTTTAGGAGCTCAGCCCTCAAGGATGCCAGTGGCATTCCTTGAAGCAATATCTCAGCTGACGGACAGTTTCCTCTCTGTGCCCTCAGCCTCAATTGACAGAGATAGCTCTGCCTAACTGGTGGAAAATATTTAAACTGCAGGCGTGAGTTCATTCCAAAGGCATTTTTCTTGTTTGTCTGGCTTAATGACAACAGGTGCTTAAGAGAAAAAAAACCACCCAGTTCTGGGCACTGATGACTGGAAGTCACATCCTTAAGCCAGGATAGAGAACTGTCGGTCACCAGCTTTGAAAATGGAGAGTGGATCCTCTATAAAGTGAGAGAAACTTGTGCTTTGCACCTGTTGGAAAGGGAATAGTAGCTCCGGAGTATTAGAAGCACTTATATTTTCTTTTTTAAGGAGCAGACGTCATTGGGTAATTGACCTGGGCTTGTAAATAAATAAGACATCATGAAAATACCAAGAGCGTCTTACTCATCTCCCAAGGAAAAGGAACGGTACAAAACATTTCTCGACAAGCTGGGATAATGGCAAGGGATTCAAACAGTGCTGCCTCTGCAGACGCCATAAAACGTGTGGGCACAACTTGGAGTCGTGAGCAGGGTGTTAACATTCAGTCAATTTCAGAGTGAGAAGGGAGCAGGGAATTGGAAATTCAGTCAATTTCAGACTGAATAAACCCCACGCCACCCCCCAACTTTCCTGGGGTCATGTTAAGGAACAATAGACTGTGCTGGAGGTTTGCAAAGAGGACGGTTCCTGGAGAACAAACGGTCTCTCTTTTTTTCCTCAATTTTAGTTACTTTTTTTTCTAATGTTCAGAGCAGGGAATTGGAAATTCAGTCAATTTCAGACAGAGAAAGTGAAGAAGAGTGTCTTGCATTAGACACGCTTCCCGTTTGTTCTCCATGAACCGTCCTTTTTGCAAACCCCCAGCAGAGTCTATTGTTCCCTAACATGACCCAAGGGAAGTTGGGGGGGGAGGGATTTATTTATTTAATTAGATGCCACCAACTGAAACGACTCCCAATAAATAAAGAGCAACATAAAACAAAACAAAAAAATTAGAAAACAGACTGGACCAAAGGTTCGAGAATGGCTAGAAAAAAAGCGGACGAATCCAATCATCTACCATGCCTTGGTGGTCTTCCCTCAAGGCACCCACTTACCTTTCAACGCTGTTGAGGCAAATAAGTCCATCGTGGCCACCAGCTGCATAAATGGATCCATTAAGGGAAGCCACCCCAATGCCACTCCGCTGGCTGGAGGCTGAGCCCAGAATTTGCCACTCGTGATCCAGGGGGTTGTAACGCTCCACCCCACTGGTGGTGCCTCCAACTATAAATCAAAGCAGTACGTTTAGTTTTTGCCTTTGAACAATTCGTCCGACAGATATTTGATTGGCTGATCTAGGAAGAAATGGTGATCCTTGCAGCGTTGCTGCATTATTATGTTGATTATTGCTATTATTTCCTGTTCTCCGCTGACTTTTTCCCATTGATTTTCTGTTGTTTTATACGATAAGCTCTTTTTTTATTATTATTAATCTGCAAGCTGTTTGGCTGAAGTATGAAAAATAAACGCTTTAAAGATTTAGCCTTTTGTTAAAAAAAAAACTTGTTCTAAACTCTTCTGGGTAGTCTTCTCCACCCACCACTCACGAAAAGAGAACATTGTTGGTTCCTACTGCAGAGAAATACAGAAACAGGGAACCCAGCATACTTACTTGCATAAAGAAGCTCTAAGGGACGTCCATTGTTGGATGATGTAGGATTGGTTCTCCAACTAACCAGCTTCCTGTTTGGTTCGATCTGCTCCCTGCGGCAACCCAAGATTTAATCATCATTAATGTTATATAAAAGAAAATGATTATCGTCCTTCTCTGTGAAATCTTCCAAAGGAAAGCTATAGATTATGTTCCGAGCTGTAAATTTTGCTCCTGCAAAGGGAATTTGACGCCAGAATCAAAAAAAGAAGCAATGAAATTTTAGAAGCATCCGTGGATGCTTGATTCCACGCCTCACCCCTAGACTCAGGGTAAACAACAAGCAGAGAACTATTTCAAAGAGATCTAAAAGGCGTTTCGGTCATCCCCTAAGGAATGGGTGAACATGGGTCCCGCTTTATTAATTTTAGTCCTTTTTTTTTGGAACATCCGACTGATCAAATCTGGCTTGAAGGGAAACTATTCTAAGGAAGAAAAGCACAGATTTTGGGATTGCTAAGATCCAATGAACAATATATGAGCAGCCTTTATTTTGCCACTCAGCCTCACCATAAACAAAAAAAAAAAAAAACATTTTACCTTGGCAGATGGCAGCACCTGGCTAGTTTTGTTGGGTATGGAAACAAACCAGGATGAGACCCAGTTGGATGGCAGCTTCCCACAGAACCCAGGGCTGTAGGTTAGACCGAGAAAAATTAAGGAAGTCCAGTTGCCTTCTGAAAAGCACCTTTGGGATAGGATAAGGTCCGTTTATCCAGGTTGCAGAGTGAGTTGACTTACCCTCTTTCTTTGTAAACACCCATCTTTTCGTCTTGGGGATGCTCCGGAGAGGCTGCCCTTGAATCAGGAGGCAAAGCCTCAGTCTTATAGGCAAACCCCGAAGCCAAAAATAGGAACGGCAGGCATCTCTTCACTGAGTGACACGCGCGGGGGGGGGGGAATTCTCTTGAAGCCATTGTTCTTCTCCAAAGAGACAAGAGTTTGTGTAACTAGACATCGATATCCAGCCGAAGGGATCTTATTCCAGCTTAGAACTGGGAGGCTGGGCTCATGAGTCACTCTGGAGATCATCTAGATGCTTGAGTTCACAGGTCTTTGGCCCCCCGTGCAATTCATGACATCAGCGGGGGCAGTTAGGCTCAGGATTGATTGATTGATTGATTGGCTCCATGACCACACTGCTTCTGTTCCAATGGATGTCAAAAAGAGGATGGGGGAGGCAATGACAGGGCTGTTGTTCACTTTCTGGACCCCCTAAAGACATCTGTGGAAGGAAAGATGGACAGGAAAGAAAGGAGAAAAGAGGAGATGATTCAATGTAGGCTTGAGTTAAGTAAAAGGTAGGTTAGACATGGTTCCACCGAGAGGCAAGTTTAAGAGGTGTCTTGAGCCCGCTTAGTTGACAGTGACAACAGCCAGGGAGCCACAAGGTTGTCGCTGAACTATTTGCAGCTTCTCCCAGGAGCAAACGTATGTGCAATGAATGACGTTGAATCAAGTTCTTTTTGATCCCCAGTGACCAGGTCACCTTTTCCCCCTTCAAGACAGTCTATCCTGTGGACTTAAGCGGATTCTTAATGATTACATAGACAGAATTTCTCCGTGATCATCTCTCCTTCATCTGGTCCTTCAGCCAGGACTCTTAAGTCCCTCCCTTTTCCTGCTGCCCATCCTCTTCTTCTTTTCCCTTCCCCCTTTCCACTTGTCCCCAAGGCTTATAGAGGCAGCCCTCAAACTACAACGGATCATGTAGTGACCGTTCAAAATCACAACGGCCCTGAAAAAGATGACATAGGACCATTTTTCACACTTAACCACCATTGCAGCATTTCCCCAGGCAGGGTCACCTGTTCAAAATCCCCAGACCCATCTGACATTCCTTGTCATAGTTAACATAACAAAGAAACCCAAGAGGAAAGTTGATTGGAAAGAATAAAAGTAACACACACACACACACCACCCTTTGCACGGGAAATCAGATACAGTAGGTGTAGTCTGACATGTTACAACAATAATAATAATAATAATAATAATAATAATAATAATAATAATAATAATAATAATAATAAAAAGTTGGAAGGGACCTTGGAGGTCTTCTAGTCCAACCCCCTGCTCAGGCAGGAAACCCTATACCATTTCAGACAAATGGCTATCGAGTCTCTTCTTAAAAACCTCCAGTGTTGGAGCATCCACCGCTTCTGGAGGCAGGTGGTTCCACTGGTTAATATTTGCATCCCTGAATATCACCCACGTTCATTAAAACGAGGTCTGACGTTGGTAAGGAAAAAAAAGATTGTTTAGAATTCATGAAAGAGATAAACCAGACCCAAATGGGTACCAACGAATATTTTTTTTCCTTATCCAGCCAGTTTATCTTTTCCTACATTCCAATGAGCTTGAACATTAATTTTAAAAGCAGGGAAAATAAGTCAGATCAAAATGCAAAGGGACCGTATGAGTTAAATGAGTTGCACAAATGAATCTCGTGTCTTCTCGCTTGGCAGGCAGGGTGCATCTGAGCCTGGGTCCAGCCGGGCCCTCCCCGCCTCCTCCCGGAGTTAATAGAAACCGTCGAAGATGGGGGTGAGCAGCTGTGGAGAAGCCGAGAGGTCTGCTTGGGTCCGCATGTGCCAGGCTGCACCTGTGGAAAGACATCTCTCGCCACATGCCGGGCAAAGCTGGCGTGCTTGGCCGGGCAACGGATCCCCCTGGGCTGAGCCAGGAATGCAGCCACGTGTTCATCTTGGTCCCCGCAGACTTTATAAATAAAGATGGTTTATTTGTAGTAGGATAATAGTGTTATTTATAATAGAATAATACATGATATCACGGGATATAGCCTGCCTTCAGAAATCCCGGGCTCTCCATCACTGAAGGCTTTTAAGAAGAGACTAGACAGTCAATTGTCTGAAATGGTGCAGGTTCTCCTGCTTGAGCAGGGGGCTGGACTAGAAGACCTCCAAGGTCCCTTCCAGCTCTATTCTATTCTATTCTATTCTATTCTATTCTATCCTGTTCTATTCTATTCTATATTCTATTCTATTCTCTTCTCTCTATATATATGTTATAAGGGGGGGGAGGCATGTTGTATGTTTGCCACTTAGAGTTCTCTAAGTGGCAAATATAAGCAGAAGCTTTTGTTCACTGAAACCACAATCTTTTCTTTAAAAATCTCTTACACACACACACACACACACAAAACTGCCTTCATTCAGTTGTGCTCTTCTGTAGCCTCTGTTGTGGTACAGTCAGAAATTAAGAATTCTGTGCTAACATGTAACATGATCACCGTCCTCTGGAATTACACCGCCTTTGCTCTGACACAAAAGAGGATGGAATTTAAAAAAAAAAAAAGAATGTTGAACTTGGTTCCTGACAGAAGGGAAACTGTATCTGGGTGTTTTTTTCTAAATGAAATGCTACTCCAATTGCAAAAAGACTCCCCGTGCATCCAAAGGTGTACATACAACCTCTCCACTCGACAAATTCAAGCATCATCTCCACAAAGAACATGAAGGTAAAATCTGAGCTTCTAACACTGTTCTGACAATATTGAAATGAGGTATTAAATCCTACTTAAAAATCAAATGCTTTTCCCTTCCAAAGTACATTTTGCTAATTATTCAGGAGCAGTTTGACATTTGTGGCTTTTAGCACACATTCTATGCTGCCAGACTGAAATAGGAAATAAAACTTTCTAATTATTTTCTCTAGCTGGCTAGATTCCTTTGTATTCTGTTCCATGTTCTATTCTATTCTATTGTATTCTATTAATTCTTTTCTATCATATTCTATTCCATTCCATTCCATTCCGCATTCTATTCCATTCCATTCTATTCTATTCTATTCCATATTCTATCCAACCCTCTTACTCTACTCGTCAATATTTCTGACTCTACAGCAAGAACTGAAAAGCACAAATGTTGGAAAGAAATGAGCACTAATCTTTATTCCTCTCCATTTTCACAGCTATTTTGTAGGCTCCGAACTCACCAGTGGTGTTTTATGCTCTTCAGTGTGGCCCTTTTCCACATTTTGCTCTTCGGAGCCGATCTGCTGGAAGAATACTTCTTACAAGCCATCCCCACCACTTACATGGACATGAAAGTTCTCAGAGCTCGGGAAAGAGCCCGGATACTGGACATGTCCTCCATGAAAACCAACATCTCCAAGGCTTACGTTCTTAGCAAAGCAGAAGCTTGCTCCAAACATGAGATCTTCCTGCTGGTTCTCATTTTCAGTAGCCCTGAAAACCTGTCCAGGCGCAACGCGATTCGAAAAACATGGGCCAACGTGACCGACATCCAAGGTTACACCACTCTGGCCTTGTTTGTGTTGGGTGAGCCGTCTTCAGCTAGAGCCCAAGTGGAGGTCATCAAGGAATCAGAGCAGGAACAGGATCTAATCCAAGGAATCTTTCTTGATACCCCAGAGAATCAGACGCTGAAGATCAAGAGGGCCATAGAGTGGACCATCACTTATTGCCCCCAGGCCAGGTTCATTCTCAAGGTAGATCAGGATATGTTTGCCAACCTCCAAACCTTGGTTGAATACTTGCTCAACTTAAGAACTCGCCCAGAAGACATCTATCTTGGGAGGGTGGTTCATCAAAACGTCCCCAGCGGAGAATCCCAAAACGGCACTTTTGTCTCCGTGAAAAAATATCCTGGACGGCACTATCCTGACCACTGCAGTGCTACGGCCTTTGTCATCTCGCAAGATGTTGCTCGGAAGATCTACATAACGTCTGGAGAAGTTCCTCTTTCCCTACCGCCTGGCATCTTTGTGGGTGTCTGTGCAAGAGCGGCCGGCGTGGTGCCCGTCCACAGCTCCCGCTTTTCTGGGGAAAGACGTATCTGGTACAACCGATGCTGCTATCAATATATTTTCACTTCCACTGTTTCGGAGATCAGCCAGCTTCTCCAAGAATGGAGGGAGATGAACAGCGGTAAAGACTGCACATTCCTGGAAACCTATTATGGGCTGGTGTCCTGCAGAATCATGACGTATCTGGACGGGTTGAAAGCTTCGAGAGTCAACGCCGTTCAGAAAGAGGCTTTGTATTTTTCTGACTAGAAGAATCAAATCATAGCATCTCCGTTTGGCTTCCTTGTGGGCTTACCCAATCTTTCTTACTCCCCCTTCTTATTGGTATTATTCTGTTGCTTTGCATGTACACCGAGAGCTTCTCCATCGGAGACATATTCCTTGTGTGTCTAATCACCCTTGGCCAAATAAAGGATTCTATTCTATATTCTATTCTGCTGATCAAGAGACTTACAATTGATCTTCCCACTTACAATCGTTGCGGCATCCCGTCATGTGATTAAAATTGTTCATTTCTCGTTCAGCACTACGTAACTGGAGGACTCCCTGTATAAGGGTAGACGATCACTTGACTATGAGTGTGCAGCAGCAACCAAAAATGCTAATACGCTCCTGGGTTGTATAAACAGAGGCATAGAATCAAGATCACACAAAGTACTATTACTCCTTTATAAAGCCCTAGTAAGACCACATCTGGAATACTGCAGCCAATTTCGGTCACCATATCACAAAAAAGATGTAGAGAGTTTAGAAAAAATCCAGAGAAGAAAAAAGACGTTGCAACCCTGTTTTTCTTTGAAGACGTTTCGCTTCTCATCCCAGAAGCTTCTTCAGCTCTGACTGGATTGGAAGGGAGTGGAAGGAGACAAGAAGCTGGAGATTTTTTGCACACTTCCCCCCCCCTTTGAAAAGGGTAATTCTACATGATGTTTATAAGCACAACAAAAGCAGTATTTTGGAGCCAACATATACACCAAAGGCAGCAGCTTGATCGAAATGGGGCTGAAAACCGGACTGCGAGTACCGACATTCACACGTTCTTCAGTTCAAGACGTATTTCACAACTGAACCCAAAGCAGAATGGAAGAAAAATAAATGTCTGCACACAAGGAAACCACTCAAGCGTTACTACAGCCATAGAGTCATCTATTGTGGTGAGTTACTTTGTTGCTTCACAAATTAGTCAAGTATTAAGCCACCCGTGCATTTAACACCCATAAAGCTGAGCTGGATTATGCCTATTGGACTCCGGTCCTTCATGAAGAATCACTTTTTGATGCAAATTATTTCAAACTGTACCGTATCTGCAGACTGGTGTATAGGAAAAGTAACAGGGCTGTGTCCTAACTAAATTAAGGAAGAAGTCTCTTGCGTGTGTGTATATATATTTACTAACTCTTAAAGGCACTGGAAGAGGTCTTTTTTTGGAGGAGACTGTTTGGAATAAAGTCTCAGAGAAGTGAGCAGCATAAATTTTTCTGTTCCTGGGGTTGAGATTAAGAGCTGGAGGGATGGACAGTTGAAGGTGGGGAGAATAAGCATTGCTTTGTAAAATGGAGATTTGTTTAGCCTTTTATGTAAGATATATTCTTTATTCTTCCATCTATTTGCTTTTAAGAACCCGGATTAAATCAATTTACTTGTTCCCTACGTAAAGTTGTGTGGAGGAATATTTGTGTCATGGGAATTGGAACATCAGGAAAACAACACTGAGGAAGTGATGAAAAATGAATCTCTCTGAGCACAAATCTTAAACCCAGATGGTAAAACAACCCATGTGATGAACAAAAAACGAACAAAAAAAATGTTTTCCACAAATGAAGGCAAATATACATATCCCAGGGTCCTGCAACATTATCCTGGGGAAAATAGTTCCTTTATATTTTATAGAGTCTCTTCTTAATGGCTTCTTGGATTTTAAGGAGTGTGAAATGGTGGAACCTGTGTTTTCCATCGGGAAAATACCTAGGAAATCTTCATATTTCAAACCAACTGGCATTTCAATGTCAAACAAACAAAAAACCTCATGCCAAGTTAATATTTCCCACACTTTCCTTCTCCTCTCTACAAAGCAACACGCCAGCCTCACCTTCCAGGAATCCAGAAAGTTTAGTTAGCCCTGGAATTACTGAACAGTAGCTTAAAATTACGTCTTCCAAAGCTACTCAGCTCCTTCTACAGCGGTAGTTGAGACAGCCTTAACGTAATACGGCCCCTCACGCATATAAGCCTTCAATCTTAAGTAATGCTGGTTTCCCAAAATATCTGGTGCCGTCTTTGAGTTAACCAAAGCCTTGACAAGTTCGTATTTGGCCTCCTTAGAAGCTTTATCCGGTTCCACCGATCGGTCCACGATGTATTCCACAAAGCCAGGACTGGCCAACATCTCCTGCTGGGCCCAAGGTTGATTTGCAATGGCCTGGGGGGGAGGGGGAAACAAGGCAGATTTTGTTAAATGGTTGACATCCGAATTCCTTCCATTTAAAAAAAGTCGTTGGTCTAATATATTTAACCCGATGTAAAAGCTGATGAAACTAGTCCTCCATCTATGAACAGTTCTTTCTTAGCAACCGTTCTAAGTCACAACGGCGCTACTCATGACCCAGAGTCAAAGTTTTAAGAGTTGTGTCTTCCCAGACTTCGGGTGTCTTGACAACATGGCTGTGTTTACGATGGGTTTGCTGAAAAACGTCTATACATGTTATAATTTAGCCTCTCTTTAAGACCCCCTTTAAACAGGAGGTACGGTTAAAAAACCGTTCAGTAGACTTTAGAACAGGGGACAATTTTTATCAATGGCTAGAAAAACGAGTTGGAGAGAAAGGAATGTGATATGTATTATGTAACCTTAAATATGTATTAGCAAGAAGAAGACTATTGGGTGAAGATATAAGAAACATATTATTAACTAACATACTGATTATGAAAATATAGACACTAGTTATTACTGATCGTTTTTTTAAACACATCAATCCAGACAAGATGCTGATTGCTAAATACTAAAGAATGTCCTTTTATAAAAATTAATAAAATATGTAAAAAAAAAAAAAGCCACCTCTTCCAAATTAAAACAAAAAACAGAATTAACCAGCAAAGGAAAGCCTGTCTCAGAGCAGTTTTCTGTTCAGCTGGAACATAACCCTGATTATCCTCGACCGCCGGCTGAAAAATTCTGGCTGATGCCACCCCAATTTATCCAAAGAATGCCAGCTGGGAAAAAGCTGCCCCAAAGTATCTTACAGTGAAGACGCCCAAGGCTCCGCAGTGGAGATCAGGGAACGGCTGAGTGCTGATGCTTTTGAAGAGTTCCAAGGGCTGGTTGGATAGAGAGGAGAACCATGATTCTGTCATCCGGAGAAGATCTTCGGTTTGTTGTTCAGGCTGTGTGCAAAAAAGGAGCGGGTGAGTTTGCAAACGCCTCTGACCCATCCCTTTCTCCTGAAAGTTTAGAAACAAAACATCCAGCTTCTTCTTCGGGTCACATTCAGTGGCGTTTGCAATGGCAGAATATACATCTGGGGACCGGCTGGATGGCAGGGAAGTGTCTGATGCCAGGTGGGAGAGAGCCCAAGGGGCTACGTGGTTGGCCGGGGAGGTGCCTATAACTTACCTGCAAGTACAAAAGGGATGAAACAGCTTCCAGACATCGGATCCTCATCTCAGTCGGGGCGTTCTTTATTTGATGCCCGATTCTGTTTAGCACCCGATGGAACCGACTCCCTGGAAAGCAAAGCAAACTCTGTTCTGGGCTAGGCATGTACAGCATCTCCTCCCTCCACATCTGTAACCAGATGTGCCCTTTTACCCGCGCCCGCTGGACGAACCTGTCTTCTGGAGCACCAACTTGCCCTCCACGTTTGAGCCCAAGATCCCGACCGTGTCCACCGCCACGCCAAACAAGGTTGGGTCTTGGACTTCGGCCATGTTGAAGACCTTCTCGATGAAGGCAGGGTACTGCTCGCAGATCTGCTGGGGGCTGTCCACGATGGCCAGGTTGCCAAAAAACTTAACAAAACCTGCAAAGGTGTCGACAGAGCAAGGAGAGGATTGCCCCTGGAACCACTGCGCATTTGATCACTATCTTTTCCCTCTTCTTGCTTATAAGGGCACGGCAGGTGGGCAGAACCGAAAACAGTGTTCCCTATTTCTTAGAGGAACTGAGTCAGTTTCCACCTTATAAATACAGGAAGCAAATTATTCCTACCAGAGATCTAGGCCCTCTTTGTCCAGGGCAAGCTCTTTCCTCTGCAGAAAACAAAACTGAACCAAGACTCAAACTGGGACTGAGAAAGAGAGACTGAGGATCCCTAATGTGAAGCAGAATGAGTGCTGCTGAATGCAAATCGTCCCAAAGGTGCTTTTTTTTTTCAAGAGGCAACTGGACTTTCCGGTTTTTCTTTGAGAACATTTCGCTTCTCAGCCAAGAAGCTTCTTCAGCTCTGACTGGATGGTGGGGAATGCAAAGTAGGCTTAAGGCCAATGGGAGAAGCCCTCTGGGAACATTTAACTGCACTACATTTAACTGCACTACAGGGGCGGAGAATAGCAGGCCACAGAGATACAGTATCAACCCTACTAAGATCAAGAGGCCAAAAGGCCACCTGTAATCACCTGGCAGGTAAAAACTGGAGAAGGGATCCGAATCAGCTCCAATGATTATATTGGAAATCTTGTCGATGATGCCTTGCTGGGCAAGATACTGTCGTCCATGTTGAGTGTGGGCGAGTGAGGTCACCATCTCTATACAGGTCGCTCTGTTTTAAAACAAAAAACAAATGGACTGCTTCAGAGAGCTGAGAATCAATACGCCTCTTTTTATTTTATTTTATTGGACGAGGAACTGGCCATAGGGAGCAAGCAAAATTGGGACACAGCCATGCATTTACAAACAGCAAAGAGATGGCAAGGATACCCCCAAGGCCTGCTGGCCTCTTATTCATGCTGAGTCCCATACCTGACAAGGACGTCGTTTCCCGTCAGTTCTCCAATCATCTCCGCTATTAAACCGCTGTTCACACAGTAATTCAGAGAGTCCACCGACGTGGAGGAAATATTGACCACTAGCTAACACAAAGGCACACAAGACAGGAATCTGAGCCACGTCTCCTTGCAGGTGTTTCTCCTGCCAATAGACAGCCATGCCTCCCCCTTTTGTAAGTCAGATTTGCCGTTATTTAATTAAGAAAAATCAGCACGTGTAGATAGGTTAAGCCGCTCCATTTATTTCCCTTTAAAATGAAAATAAAAAAATCCTATTCCCTCCGAGAGATTTCTGTTAACGTTAATCTTTATGTAGCCTTAGAGTGCCGAGTAAAATTAATCCATTTAAAGAAGCTGCATGCTAGTCTCCAGCTCTACATCCACCTACTACCAAATTCTCTTTCATATGTACCTTCTCCCCTTGTCCCAAAGTGTTTTTTTTTTTTTTTCCAAAAGGCAGCTGGGCTTTGTTTCTCCTTGAAAACGTTTCGCTTCTCATCCAGGAAGCTTCTTCATTTCTGGTGTCAGAACTGAAAAACCTTCTTGGAGGAGAAGTGAAACATCTTCAAGGAAAAACAAAGTCCAGTTGCCTTTTGAAAAAGCACCTTTGGGACAAGTGACTTGAGAATCTCTGGACACCCTCTCCCCTTAATCGTCATCTCTCATAATACCATGAATTTTATCCAACTTGGAACGTATCCTTACCCCCCAGACAGCCACAATCAGAACTGTTTCTAAATCCCCAAGTTACATCACCCACCATGGCAGTTAAAGACATGCATTTCTGTCCTCTTATCTGCTAGGCTCAAAAAAACAAAACAAAAAACCATTAACTCTTGCCTCATAGACGCGATAACGTATGATGTCGCTCTTCGCCATGACGTTTTTCAAGTCGATCAGCAAATTCCCCGCCAGCAAAACTTCCAAGCCTTCGGGCGACTGTGCTATCCTGGACAAAGATTTGATGGCCTAAGAAACAAAGCTGTCAATGAAAATGGGAAAAGCAGACCTTGGCACACACTGGGGTGTGGAGACCCTGAATTAGCAGAAGGCACAATACTTGCAAACTTTGAATACACAGCCCTTTCTGTCCACTTCAGTGGGTTAAGGTGAAAGACCAAACCATTCTCAGAAAAATATTTTCCAGAAGGAAGAAAGCCTTTGTACAATGGGGTCATGTAGTCTAGCACATTGGGGGTTTTAAAAATTATTTGAATTTATTTATCAGAGGCCTAAACACAGAGAAAGACACACAACTGACATTAGAAATACTCAAGCAATAAAGAGTTTTGATTACAGTTATGGGTATTGAAGCTAGTGCATAACTGAATATGTCCATTTCTTTCTAAGAGATTTAGTAGGGGGATCCCAAAGAGATTCTTGAAGGATGTACATTTGAGTTGCAGAAAGCAGAAATAGGGAATGCAGAATGGCTACCAATAATTTTTGGGGAGGGAGGTGTGCCTTTGAGTCTATGTTTAATCCTCGGCAAGCCCCTGTAGTGTTCTTGGCAAGATTTTGGAAGTGGTTTGCCATTGCCTTCTTCCCGGGGCTGAGAGAGAACGACTGGCACAATAGGAGATTTATAAATAATTGTTGAGATTTATACAGTTCAAATCTTCTGGAATTTATCGATGGCCTTCCCTCCCCAAGCAGCAATTGTCAGATCACAAGCACTGACCTCTTTTGCCACTGCTATTTTCTCCGCAGCAATGCAATAGATAATCTGCCTCAATAATTCAGGAGTGTTAAGGATTTCTCTGATGGCAACAGGATCTTCAACAACTCTTCCAACCTAGGGGGGTGCAACATAATCTATAGTCATTTTACATTCTTATTTCTGCTCTTTAAATCTCATTACATCTCATTCTTAGCTGTCCTCTCTGCTACTTTTCTACTGCATTGCAGTTTCATAAATAATAGCTCAAAGCATTTGTATTCCACTTACTAGCCAAAATTCTTAAGGCGATAACTGTAATTGAAACACAATAACATACAAGACAGGCGAAGTTAATATACAGTGTATCACCTCCAGTGTTGTTTCAAACACTTGTAGAAAATAGAGAAGCACAGGGCAGGATAAACATCTCATTCTTAACTTCCTTGAGAAGATTACAAAGCTAAATTGCAACACGTACTTGGGAGATGGTTAGGATTTTGACTGAATCATCAGGATGGAACAGTCCCTTCTGAAGTTCTTCCCCAAAGTTTTGGATCACATCCAAAGGATCCATGACTTGCAGGAATCTCTCCAAGATGGAGACACACAAAGAGATTTGCTCACTGTTTTGCAAGAGAAAGGAAAACCCAGTGTTTGCTAATGAAATAAGGAAAGGCGTAAATACAGTGCAAAATAAGCAATCTCACTCCTTTACGGTCCTGCTCTTATGAAAATTCTTGAAAGCCCAAACCTTCAGACCCCAATTTTCAAGGAAGAACTGATTGTGAAGATTGAAAGCTTCTCCCACACACACACACACACACACCACCACCAGAACTCTCCATGCAAACTAACCCCACCCTTTCCAAAACCTTGCCCAAGCATTCACCAGCAATTGCAAAACCTACAGACAGCATAAAATCACTTTCCCAGCCTGTTGTTGCTCTCCCTTAACATTATTATGGTCATTTCAAGAGTTTCCACTTTTATAAAGCAACATTTTGAAGAAAAGGAAAGAAAGGAGGGACTGGAAAGCAGGAGGCACAATGTTTGCAATAAAAAAAAAAACAACTTTCTACATCCACACACATAGAAATATAGACACATATTTGTGTGTGTGTGTGTATATGCACACACACACTGTATGAACATTTATAAATACAAATGTGCCATATACACATATTTACATACATATCAATGTCTCTCTATCCATATACAAACTTTCCCTTATACACAAATATATACATATGTGTGTGTGTGTATAGAGGTGTGTGTATATGGCACATATTTGTGTTTATATGTGTACATACAATATGTGTGTATGTGTACTTATATCTATATATTTATAAATATATATGCACCCAAATATGCATGCAGGTGTAGGAAGTCAACACACACACCCCAGAGAAGGAAATATTTGGGGGGGGGGTATTAAAAACGGCAGAATATTCTGACAACTCAATAAACTGGACCATCTTTCCTAAAGCAGTCTCCATTTTGTTTATTCTAGGCTTGGACTGGACCCCCGAAGATAACAGTTCCTCCACGAGGACTAGCCCTTTGATGCAAGGGACCCCCCCCCCAATCCACCCTCACCTCTCCCCGCGAGCCAGGAGGACGAAGAGCCCAGCCAAAGGGTAGCCGGGACCTTGCTCGCGGAGGGCGCCGGGGGGCAGAGCCTGCACGGCCGCCCTCAGGGCCCGCAGCTCCTCAAGCGGCTCTTCCAGCGAAGCGACCCGCCTCAGCAGCAACAGAGCAGCTTCTACCTCAGCCGCCGCCATCTTAGAAAGAGGAGGGAAGGTCTCGCGAGAATTCGGCGAGGGGCCAAAGGCCCCTTTCGGATCCGCAAGGCTGCGCAGGCGCTGTGACGCCCTCTTTGTTGCGACGTGGCGATCACGCAAGCGCTCCGGTGGATGATTGGATGGAGAAGGCGAGCGGGCGGGCGGGAGGGAGAGGAGGGAGAAGGTCCCTCCCAGTCCTAAGAGGCTGACCCCGCGCGGATGAGTGGATATACCACATTTCCGTGTCTTTCAACGAAGCCGCTATGCGGGGCTAACGTGACGCCTCTCCCCGCCGAGCACCCTTTTAAAACATTTACAAAATCGCCCTAACCAGAATGTATTAGCCAGCCTCTGACAGACGCTTGTAAATTCAAGAGCTGCCGCGCTTTGGAGGCTCTTCCCCGCTTCGTCCTGTTTCAGTTTTTACCGTAAATGAAGAGGCCTATTATTCTTTCTTTACCCCTATGACCTCCAGCTGAGTTTTAAAAAGTTGTTTTCTAACCCAAAACTGGAGTCAAACCGCAAGAAAAATTGGACACGTGTTCACACTGTGTGTGTGTATCTATAGCTAGCCTCGGAGGCCTCTATTTAGACAGATAATAGTGCAAGCCAAGGGTACATAAAATAAAAAGAAGAGTGCCTCTGAGCATGCTTAAAGTGTTCCTTCTCTCCCACCCACCCCCATCCCTGCTAACGAGTAATAATAAAGGGCCAGAAGCATTTGAGTCTCAAAGTCTTGTTTTTTTTTAACATTCTGCATAGACCCTTTTGTAATTCCTGCAGCTGCTGTACGCTCTCATGCAGCACTAGCAATACAAACCTATGGCAAAGTTATCTCAATATTCTTTTTTTTAATAGTTGTACCCCTGACACATTCGTTGCCATTTGAACAGAACGAACAAACAAAAAGGTCAGTTATCTTAAAAAAGCAGCAGCCTTGACACTGTGAAGGTGCATAGAAGCATTTACAAGATCAGTCCAAACCAATGCAAAAATAATTATTATAATATTTAAAAATACAAATAAGTCCTTCTGGGGGACGGGGGGGGGGGCGAGGGGGGAAAGAATATATATTTTAGAAGCCCTGTCTTGTCTGTAGGGGCCTCGAGCTAAACTGTGCAAACAGGAGCAGGAAAATACAGTTAGATTCAGAATTGCTCTGCAAATATACTATAATGTATTATATATATAGAGAGAGAGAGAGAGGCACTTGTGAAAGAAGGACCCTTGACAATGTAAAATGCAACAGCCAGTTTTGTGCTTTTCCTCGGCTGGGAACTGGCTCCTTTTGAGACATTTATCTTAACCAGACCATCCTGGGTGAAGTTATGACCAAATGTTAGGCTTTCGTGCACGCCAGCCAAAAAAACCCACAAATCATCCAGCCCAAACGGACACGGGAGGAAACTCCACAACTGAATGTTGACTTCAAATTAAGTTCAAGAGAATCCAGATGTGTGTCGCTAGTGCATTTGTTAATTTCTCCCTTCGGTCACATTAGAACTGCCACCCAGCTTAGGAAAGGTTATTCTGGGGGCGCACCCAGGAGCTTGGAAGGGTCCCTAAAGTCTGCCCTTACATGCTTTTGTACACCTGCCATCTTGTCTGCCATCTACTTTAACACCTCCCTGCAAACTCTCTGCTCATCCCATTTGCTAGGCAGGGCTATCCCTCTTGATAATTATAGAAGCATGACCTCTTGCTATCCTTTACCACGGGGGGGGGGGAATAAGTGCCACGTTAGATGGGGGCCAACTTTGTCCAGGTGGTGTCATTTCTATGGGGCTGACCCAGGAATTCACTCCCCTTTTTTGCCCCAAACGGCGCTAAGATTGAGCAATATTTGGCCGTGAAGCCACCCTTTCCATCTTTCCTAGCCCAACCCAAAGGGCCCCGTTTAGGAGTCTACAACAGGAAACCTCTGGGGAAAAAAACTGATCTTAAACAGACTTTGTACAAGGCAGTTAAGAACAAATCTGTTTTTCGTAGTTGGCTCCCCCATTCCCACCCTGTTCCTCTCTTACGGCATCAAGTGCCGGACCCCGACACCCATCAGTAGGGAGTGTTGCCCTCCCACTCCACGAGATACTCCACTTTTCCCTCCGGGCTGATCCTCCGAGCCAAGACTTGATATTTCTCCCCGCAAATTAGCCGGCCAGTGGCTCCGAAGTAGCTGCTGATGGAGGACTGGAGATGAGAGAGGGATAAATCATCTTCGCTCAAGCTCTCTAAAGTCTGGCAGTCAATGGCGTTGTCCGGGCGATCCGAACTGCTGGCACGGTCACTGCCATCCAAGGAGCAGCCGGGGACAAGTCTGCGAAGATGCTCGGAGGATTTCTGCTTGGTGGGGTCGAGCGCCGCATATGGTTTAGCGGAGAGTTTGCGTTTACGGCTCCCGACGTTTGTCCTAGCGAAAGAGGATAAGAAAAAAAAAAAACGGGTTTCTTAGGACTGTGGTGTGAGGCGAACTGCTGGTTTTGGAAAGCAGAGTCGTGGTTTCTGAGGGTGTAAAATTGTGCAGGGTGAGGGAATGGGTTAGGTGTGTGCAGCTGTGTCTCTCTCTTTCTCTCCCTCCCTCCCTCTCCCTCCATGTGTGTGTGTGTTTTGCAAAGGCCTGCAAGCCGGGAAATTTAGAATGGGGAAGGAGATGACGTAGTCCGTATGAAAAACACGGTCGTAAGCCGAGAACTACCTGGTACACTTTTTCTTTCAATTTATAAAGCATTTTCAATTGACAAAGGACTAATGTCACCTTGATTCACAGGACAGACTCGTTGAGGCTGAGCCCGAAGTGCTGACAGCATCCGTGGAATCTACGTCGGAGAGACCCGAGCTTATGCTAGAAAGAAAAGAGGGAGAATAAACAACGCTCGGTTAGGTTTACACCAATGGTACGTTGCAGAGTACGTAAAGGGCCCACCGTGCCTCGGAGCAAATGAAGAGGACCCACCACCAGCAGCCCAGCTAGAGAGATTTGCAATCTTTTGGTCTTGGAAGGATTTGAGCTCAACTCATCACACTCACAATTTCTTTCAAACGTTCACAGGAAGGGCTAAGTTGAAGCTCGTCTGCTTAGCTACTCGGCAGCCGCCGATTAAGTGCGTAGGGCGCTTCAAAAATGGCAGGAATGATGGCATGTGTCTAAAACATCAGCAGTCCACGCTGCCTACCTCCGGCTGAGTGAACTTGCAGCAAAACCCTGATTTTTTTTTGAAAGAGCTTTGCCAGAGCAAACAGTTGGTCTCCAGAGTCACAACCCGTTCACAAGTGGGTCTGAATAGTTGTAGAACAGGGTTAAAAAGAGGGGCCCTTGGTGCTTTCTGAGCTTGGTTGTTTGCGTGCAAACGTTTCATTGCCCAACTAGGTAATATCATCAGGGCTAGAAGGACTGAAAAGCAACCCCCACTCCCTTCCAGCACTGATGATGTTACCTACTTGGGTAATGAAACATCTGCAAGAGAACAATCAAACTCAGAGAACACCAAGGACCCCACAATTCTCCTCCTCCTCCCCCTCTTCCTCCTCTTCCTCCTCCTCCTCCTCCTCCCTGCAAACCCCACTCCCTTCTAGCACTGATGATGTTACCTAGTTGGGTCATGAAACGTCTGCAAGAAAGCAACTAAAGCTCAGAGAGCATCAAGGACCGCACAGAAATGCATCTTTTTTATCTATAAGGGCTGGAATCGGGTCACTGCACTAAGGCAGATGTGCAGTTACCTTTTTAGACTCTGGATTTCATCCAGCGAGAAATCAAAGATGCAGGCCAGGTGATGGTTGGTGCTCCAAGCTGAGGCAAAATCACTCTGTGGCAGGAAAGCAACAAGACAGAGAGGGGGGAAAACAAACAAACAGCCGTTATCCAGCATCCTCAAGTGGGGAAAATAATTTTCAAGAAAACCCACAATCCTCTCCCAGCCCCACAAGGAATTTGGAGGCAATTCCCCACAGCTTTTTTTTTTTCCTTCCTCCAAGCCCATCCTTTTTTGCAAACTGACACTTGGAATAGCATCCTCCAAGAGGAATTTGGGCCTTTTCCTTCTCCGTTCGTGCTGGGATTGGTGAGGCTGCAAACTGGAAAGGAAGTGGGGGTCGGGGGGAGAAATGACAAGGAATCAGACCCAAAGAACAAAGGGAAACAAACTTGAAAGCTCAATCTAAGCACCTCTGCTCGCTTCTACCGACCTGCTTTTGTGGGCGTGTTTGCATTTCCCCCTTTTCTTTGGCTCGCTCAGCCCTGCCAACTTGTCCGGCAGGATTTTGCTGGGAGGATACGGCGGGACTCGAACCCGCAGGCGAAAGATGCATTTCTTTTTCTTGATTTCCTTCCCACACAGGAACCTGAAAGGCCAACAAGAGAATCTAGCAGCTTGGTTGAATGAAACAAGAAACGCCCACAAGGACCCCACAATCCTCTGCCCAAACCCCACCCCCTTCTAGCACTGATGACGTTCCCTAGTTGGGTAATGAAACGTCTGCAAGGAAACCACCAAGCTCAGAGAGCATCAAGGACCCCACAGTCTCCTCCTCCTCTTCCTCCTCCTCCTCCCTGCAAGCCCCATTCCCTTCTAGCACTGATGATGTTACCTAGTTGGGTAATGAAATGTCTTCAAGAAAACAACCAAGTTCAGAGAGCACCAAGGACCCCACAACTCAACCCTCAGCTATAAATATCCTCTTCTACCGAGTCAGCTGAATCTTTCCACCTCTTGGGAGAATAGATTCTTTGAGGCTCACCTGCTTTTGTAGCTGTTTAGTGCATCTAGAAGGAGAGGACCTCGTTCTGCCACAGGAGTTGCAGCCAACTGGGGAAGAGATGTTTTTAAAGGCAAAATTAGCCCCAAATTAGCTTTTCACACCATCTTATAATCCAGCATCCACGATTCTTGCTCATCCCAGCTTTTTGCTGGAGACTTGCTTTTAGTTTTAGGGAAGAGGGGAAAAAACTTGGGAGAACTTGCTTTGCCCACCTCAAGATCCCAGATTTGATACCAAGTTGAGTCTGGAGAAGACCCCCGGTCAACCCCTTTACCATACACACACACACACAAACCCCATTCCTGCCTGACCTTCTCATGCAAAGAGGGAATGCACATCTAAGTATCTCTCATTTAGCAACGGTGGCTTATAGATCCTATTCTATAGAACCACTCCAGAGGAAGGGAGCTGCGTTCAACGGGAAGCAAATGATAAAGGAAATGAATTGAGGCTTTGCCTTCCACCTACACACACACACACACACACACACACACACACACACACACACACATACACGTACCTTGCCAAGCTGAAAGTGGTCCCAGCGGTGATTGACAAAGGCCAAAATTTCCTCAAAGTTGAAATACTTCTTCTTGCTTTGCACGCCCAGGTTGTAGAGGGCAAGGTGCACGACGTCCACCCTGTGTATGTGTGTGTGTGTGTGTGTGTGTGTGTTTGAAAAACAAAGGAGACAATGACCTTCCCGTTGAGGGAAAGGATTGCAAGAGGGAGAGGGCAATTTTTATAGCATAAGGGGAAGGCGTGGGGAATAGCATTTCCTGATGACCGAATCTTTCTTTCTTTCTTTCTTTCTTTCTTTCTTTCTTTCTTTCTTTCTTTCTTCTTTCTTTCTTTCTTTTCTCTTTCTTCTTCCTCCTCCTCCCATATCTCTCATCCCTCTTCATGTCTTCTCCTCGTTCTCCTCCTCCTCCTATTTCTCATCTTCCTCCTCTTCATCTCTTCTCCTCCTCCTCCTCCTCCTATATCTCATCTTCTTCTTCCCCATCTTGTCTCCTCCTTCTCCTATTTCTCATCTCCTTCCTCCTCCTCCTCGTTCTCATTTCTCATAATAATAACATAATAATAATAATAAACACTACAAGTTCGTCAAGGTCTATACGGTAAAAACCTTCGAACCGCATACGAGAACTGGGTTCCTTATATCACACAAGCATCCTTTGCCTTCCACTCTCGCTTGCTCAAATTAACACACGCGTGAAGCCATGCCACTCCAAACATTTCCTGCTCCAGCGTTAACATTTTCAAACGATGCTAAAAACAACCAGAGTGCCATCTCCATCCCCCTAGCTTTCTGGGGGAGGCTGTTCTTATTGGCCCTCATTATAAAGACGCTGGAATCCAGAAGCCAACTTTGAAAAACTTAGCGAGGCCAGGATGAGAACAAAGGAAGCTCTCTAGGGCGTAACATGGTTTGCTAATTCCTCTCCTCCCCCCAAGGGCTAAGTGGTGCCTGTTGCAATAAGATACAGTGAATAAGAATCTTTTTATTGAGGTGGGGTGGGATGGGGGGAGCAGGTCTTACCATCTTAAAGGCAAGCGTTTGAGATACTCAGGTCCCTGATTACACAATGTGCAGTAGAAAATATAAAACCTGGAAGACGAGAGAGAGAGAGAGAGAAAAAGAGAGAATAGGCTCTGATTATTCATTTTAGATGTGTGCAAGAACTGTAATCAGCTTCCCGCCCCCCCCCCCACTCCAGCTGCTGCCTTTGGTAGGGCTTGGACTACAAAACCCTTCCTCCTCAGCCAACAGGAGATCCGGGCTGCACCTACCGATCTCCAAAGAGCATGGGGAAGTTCAGGCACTGCATGCAAGCTTCGTGAAACCACTGGCGACAGTGAACGCACTGCAGCATCTTCAGGTACCATCTGAGCAGGAACAGGAAGAGGTTGTAATCGTTACCGTCCAGTCCTTGTTTAGCGACTGTCTCCGACAGCGACTATGCGCAGGTACGAGGGTGAGGAAACAGTAACTTTACGGCCAGCCATTCCCATTTGTGACCTGGGCAAGGCTGTAAAGCCGAGGGAAAGCTTAGCCACTGTTTCACTCAACGACCGAATTGCCGGTCCCAGTTTCGCTTGCTAAATGAGGACAGTCTCTGCCTTGATTTCTAAGCTGTTGCTGGGGGGGAGGGGGAATCTGAAACAGAATTTTTTTGCAAATCGAGGCTTCTATTATTTAGAACAGAGGATGTCCAAATGTCGGAAACTTTTAAAGACTTGTGGGCTTCAATTCCCAGAATTCCTCAGCCGGCTGGTGAATTCTGGGAGCTGAAGTCCCGAGGTTTGATCTATATACCCTTCAGTCCTTAATATCCCCCCCCCCACCAGGATCAGTTTCTCTCCCAGGGAAGGGGCCAAAGGAATGGCTTAAACTCCTGCCCTGTTTTTAAACATGGGATTGCTTGCGCTTCTTGGAGAGGAATTTAAAAGCAGTGGCCTCCAGCTGTCAAATTTCACTACCCTGTTTTTCAAAACGGAGATATTTCCATCCCTTGGACCAGTTTGAAAGAGTCACCTTCCAGCTGCTGAAGCTCACGGCCATGTTTGAAAAGGTGGAGTTGCAAACACCCCTCGGAGGCGCGCATTTAAAAGCCACGGCCTCCAGCTGCCAAAGCTCAGGGCTGTGTTTTTGTTTTTTGTTTTCAAAAGGGAAATATTTTCATCCCTTGGGGATGCCGAAGAACAGTCTCCTCCAGCTGCTAAAGCTCTCACCCCCGCCCCCACCCTCTTGCACACTTAAGTGATCCACATACACACATACATATCGTCCCCAACTGAACGTACTCGCCGGGACCACCGCAGTAGCAGTAACACTGCTGCTGGTTCGTTCTGTGCAAGGAATCCCATTCCAGCTGCTCCGGATTGTAGCACAGGACCATTTTGATCATCTGCAGGGTCCGGGCGATGGCTCCCTTTCGCAAGGCACCCCCTTTCTGGAGAAGCAACAAGCAACAGTGTTTACTTGGCATTCTCACGTCGTTCAGTGCTTTCTTCTTTTATCTATTAGACAAAGTGTAGCAATCTTTTTTTTTTAATTATCTGCTAACCAAGTCTCTACGGAGATTCTCCATCATCCAAGTCATGGCTGTCCCAAAGATGCTTTTTCAAGAGGCAACTGGACTTCCTTTGTTTTTCTTTGAAGATGTTTCGCTTCTCATCCAAGAAGCTTCTTCAGCTCTGACTGGATGGTGGGGAGTGGAAGGATTTATACTCCTTGCAGACCGCTGGTCATTTCCCTTCTTTCAGAGAGCCGTTGAGGCCACTTGGAGGTTTATCTGTGCCCTCAGGCTCACCTGAGTGGTGCAAATGGGTGTGGAGTCTTCTCCACATCCAGGGGCAGAGAACATCCTGCAGCCAAGAAGACTCCACGCCCATTTGCACCATTCAGGTGACCCTCCAAGTGGATGCAAATGACCAGCTCAACATTCCATTCAAAGCATCAAATTGATCAGGGAATCCAACGGGAAAAGTCCCTGGATGGATCCTCTGCAGATCTATGCTTTGCACAGCCCCTAGTGTCCACCTTTCCTTTTTGCTGTTGTTTCAAACTGTGGGAATAGCAGCCAGGAAAAACCTCTTTGTATGCCACTCACCCTCACAGCGAGTACAAAAATACATCTCCGACAAAACCAGGGGGTCACCAGGGACTCTTCAAGGCTCCCCACCCGAGGAATGTGGCACTGCTGGTGATAACCTGATTAGGGGGGAAACAGAAGGTTTTAAGCTTCGATGCAGGAGCACCAACAACGTTACCAACAACCCCATTCCGGGTCAACACAAGTCACGGAGGATGTTAGCTAGTTGGTCATAAAACATCTGCAAGAAAACCAGCAGAGAGCATTGCTTTCCCTCCCCCCTCTTCCTCCTCCGCAAACCCCACCCCCTTTAGCACTGATGAGGTTCCCTAGTTGGGCCATGAAATGTCTGCAAGGAAGCCACCATGCTCAGAGAGCACCAAGGATCTCTTGAGTCTTCCACCTCCTCCTCCTCCACTCTGCAAACCCCACTCCCTTCTAGCACGGATGAAGTTTGAATTTTAAACTTTTTTGCCCACCGCCACACCCAAGAGGGTACATCGGACCCTCACCCACTGCAGAGAAACCATAGCAAGCCCACCCAAAACCAGGATAGAGGAAGATCTGGAGAACGTTCTCACCAACTCCACACTTCCCACAGATCAAGATCTCATTCAGAGGCTCCGATGTCTTCTCCAGGCAGATGTTGCATTCCGGCTGTTCACTGGGGATACCAGCTAGAAAGCAGGAAGGGGGAAAAAAAAGAAATCTGGTAGGCCCGATCCAGATGTAGAAAAGTAACCCAAGCCATTTGAAGGGCAACTCGGCGGAAGCAAATCCATCAGAATACGTGGATAATTCATATTTTCCCACTGCCAATCAGTCATAGATGTGATGCCTTTTGTCAGGCTAGTTAACTCCTTGCACCCAGATTGACTGCAAAGGAAGCCAGGTTTTACTCCCCATGATTCAAAAGAGGGCAAGGACGCTCCAAACACGCCTAGCACCTGTTCCAAGGTGATCTAGCGCACCCCACGTCTACCCGGCAAGATTCTAGTCCTCATGCATTTCCTCAGCCATCTGCCTCAAGAGCATTTGAAAATCCTGAGAATTCCCCAAGGGCGTAGAGGCCGGGAAATGTTCACCCACCGTGCTGGATGTCCTTCCAAAGCACCCAGTATTTGGAATTATCTTCAAAGGTCACCAGGCAACTTTGCTTAGCATCACTCACCTGTAAATGCAGAAGAAGAAAAAATGCAGAACACCGACCTCAGATTGCAAAGTTAGAGTAATTCCGGGCTTTGATATGGATTACTCCAACTTTGCAAACAGAAGTCTGCATTCACGTCTCAGGCCACGCCCGAGTGCAAAAACGAAGGTGGGGTTCCTCAGCACCCCCACATGGGCTAACTTAACATGTTCTGTGAACCCCCCTCCCCAAATTTTAATTATCCCTTTTGTTCCTTCATCGGCTTTCGAGGGTATCCAGAGATTGCTATTTGTAGCAGAAAAAGGAGATGCAATAATAAATATTTTTTTTAAAAAAAGAAAAGAACAGGCTTAAAGAAAGCTGGGAGAAAAGGAGAACATGTTATTTACTCTCTTAATCTTCCCAAGATAATAAAGTCCATCAGTCCAACGGCACAAGACATACTGTCCTTCGGGCAATTTAGCCATCAGCTCCCGCCGGCTGTCCCAAGTTCGGGCTATCCAGTCTGCCATCGATTGCTGCAGGTGTCCGAGGGCTGCATAAGTGCGCCCAGGGTCAGGGGTCGCCATGCTCCTGGGCTACAGAAAGAAAAAAAAATATTTCTCAAAACGCACAGCTATGATTAACACAAGGACATCAAGTTGCGGTTTTAAGGCAGCCGAAATCGACATTTGGAGCAGACAGATTTTATTCCGCTGAATTAAATTAAACCCAGGGCTGCCGTGCAATCTCCAGGCTAAGCTCCAGCTGCAAAGCATCTTTGGGAGACCAGAACTGAAGTGGAACACTTGCAGAGCCTTACGTTTTGAGTGACATTCAAGAAGCTGGAAAGTTGACCCAAGAGGGCTCTAGGGCAACCAATTTGCCAAAGTCATCCACTCTCGGCTGTATTGTGCAAATCCTATAAGGTCATTTGTACACCTGGGAAATATGTACCCAGCCTGGTGGAAGGCCCAGCTGGGCAAAAAAGCCTAGCAGCTAGAACCACATCTGGCTGGATTTCATCCCGTAACGCCCGTTACTCGATGTAAGAAAGAAAGGAAGATGTTCAAGTACGCTTTGCCAAAGTCTATTTTTGGCCTCTAGTTCTTGGCAGCGTCTGATCCATGTCAAGATTGTGGCATTCCAATGTCTGAGCAAGCAGCTGTGTCACACGGAAAACATCCTAGGTCACTTCCAAAGCTGTTATTGCACAATTCAGGGAGCCACGGTTTCTGGTGACCCAAATGACCAGGAACCTTGGGAATGAGCTCAAATGCAAGAATAGCCTCACGGGGCTGTCGGTCTAGATCAGCGCCCCCCTCCCAATCTTTGGGGCATCAGGAACCGGTTCCGTAGGGAGAAATTTTTCCGCAGACTGGAAGGGATGTGGTTTTGCATGCTGCCTGCATCCCGTGGATGGGGCTTCGCTTGTATGAGTGGTCCGGTTTCTGACCGGTGCCGGTCCACAGACCGAGGGTTGGGGATCCCTGGTCAAGATGTTGGCTGGACACACCTTGACTGATGGCCAACATCTAGAACAACAGCCTACAACAGGAGCAGCACCCTGTGATCATGGGAGGTTTCCAAGAAGAGACTGGACAGCCATTTGTCTGAAATGGTATAGGGTCTCCTGCCTGAGCAGGGGGTTGGGCTAGATGACCTCCGAGGTTCCTTCCGTTATTCTGATGCTCAAAGCTCCTTAGTAGCTGATGGGTTACGGAACCTCTTATGTTACACGTAGTCCTTGACTTAAGTGCACAAATGAACCCAAACTTTTTGCTGCTAAGCGAAACATTTGTTCTGCGAATTTTGCCCCATTTTTTTACAACCCTTTCTTGCCACAGCTGTTAAGTGGATCACTGCAGTTGTTAAGCTGGTAAATTGTTAAATGAATCTGACTTCCCCATTGCTTGGGGGCTGGACTAGATGACCTCCAAGGTCCCTTCCAACTTTATTATTATTATTATTATTATTATTATTATTTAGACATAAACCTCAGTCAACTGAACATTCAAATTATTATTATTATTATGGATCATCGCACAGTCAGCCAGATGTTCAGACTGGATTTGGCATTTTGTCTACCTATCGAGTCCTTACCCAGGACCTGGGATAGGCAGATGTGGATGTTTGATGGCATTACAGATATCATTGCAGGATGGAAGCAGTTCCTAGTAAGGCCGCCTTTTGCAATTGACTAATAGCGAATTATTATTATTATTATTATTATTATTATTATTATTATTATTATATTGTCAAAAGGTCACAAAGGGAGATTGCATGATCTGGGACATGGCAACCGTCATAAATATAAGTCAGTTGCCCAGTGTCTGAATTTTGATCACGTGACTTCCTCCCCGGGACGCTGCAACAGTTATCAGTACAAGCCAGTTGCTTGCGACTGAATTTTGATCACCTGACCACGGGGATGCCAGTGTGAAAAACAGTCATAAACCACTTTTAGTGCTGTTGTAACTTTGAACGGTCACTAAATGAACTGGTGTAACGTGAGGACTACCTGGAGAGCAATGCCTCGAACCCAACGGATGGTGTGTATTGAGATAGGTAGATCACTGCCTTCAGCTGAGACACTCTTAGTCAGAGAATAAAATTAGCAATATTTCCCAATCTGGGGCCTCCTGAAAGCTCTGACTTCACTTCCCAGAATTCTTAGTTAAGCATTCCAAACTTCAAAAAGTGCCTTTGGTTTTCCAAGAAAACGAGGCCTGGAATTCATCCGTTGTTGCTTTTTTTGTTTTGTTTTGTTTTTTTGCTTTTTGCTTTTCAGAAAACCCACCATTATGCAAATGCCACATTGAGAAAAAATGTGGTTCAAAAAAAAATAACAACAACAGCGATCTGCCCTGAATCCTTTTTCCTAGAAGTTTTTGGCAAAGAGCTTTTCATTTCCAGCACTTGCGGAGATGACATCAAGGCTGATTCCTTAAAAATAATAAAAAAAAAATAAAATAAAACAAACTCCCAAATTCTGCAAAATTCTCCTGGAATTGTCTCCGTTGGAAAAAAGGTGGTAAAAGCAAAGCTTTCCCCAGAAGGATTTTTCACTAACATCATCAGCGTAACAACAACACTTGCTGAGCAGAGGAAGTGCAAAAGTCAGAAATCAAACCGATATAAATAGATGGATTATCCCCTCAGCATGCTCTCACTGGCAGATTCAAAAGTTTTTTTTAAAGTGCAATATCTGTCTTTCTATCTGTCTGTCTGTCTATCTATCTATCTATCTATCTATCTATCTATCTATCTATCTATCTATCTATCTATCTATCTATCTACCTACCTACCTACCTACCTATCCTGTCTGTATCTTTCCTGCCTGCCTGCCTGCCTGCCTGTCTGCCATCTATCTATCTATCTATCTATCTATCTATCTATCTATCTATCTATCTATCTATCTATCTATCTATCTATCTACCTACCTATCTACCTACCTACCTCCATTTTAGCCCTAGGTGGGGTCTCCAGCGTCAAAGGTTTCCAGGGTGGGGGAGAGAGAGAACCAGGAGAGAAAAGATGCGGTCGATACAGTTACCCACCCAGGCAAGAACGCGGAGTCTCTCTGCAATGAAGAAAGAAAGTTGCGGATCGAGCAATTCGGGTTAGTAAGAGTTCCCTCCCTTGCAGTGACAAGCAGGGGAAGATCTGATCTCTGTTGCATTTGCAAAAAAAAAAAAAAAGGGGGGGGGAGGGCGTGGGCCCAGAGCCACCCTCGCCCTGACACCCCTACCCCCCCACCCCATACAAAGACCTTCCCACGGTGCCTCTGCTGTAGTTTTGGGTCGTTCCTACCAACAGGATGGGATCCCCCCCAGTTGCACCGCAGGCTTGCTCTCCCCCCCCCTCTGAGGCCCACCAAGAAGGGAGGGTGATACCCCCCCCCCCGCACATCCTCCCTCGGGGTCCAAAGCCGGTTCCCGCCCAGCCACAGGGAAGCCCCTCCAGAGGCTGGTGCGAGCCTGAAGCTGGCGCGCCCAGGCGTGCTGTGGGAACGGGCGGCGGGCAACGTTGGCTTGGGCCAAGAGGATGAGCGGAGAGGGGGGGGGTTCTGGCTAGGGTTAGGGGGCCCTAGGGCAGCCCCCCTCCAAATGTCCCAGTCAGCTCCAATCCAGTTGACAGCCCGGATTTTTAGGTGCCATCCTGCCCAAAAGAAAAGCTCCCGATTCGTTTTTTGCTCCCGTTTCTCTCCCCCCCTCTTTTCCCTCTCTTTCTCTCCATCCCTTTTTCTCGTTTTCTCATTCTCTCTCTCGCTCAGTCTCTCTCCCTCTTTTTCTCAATCCCCCCTTCTCTCTCTCTTTCTCTTTCCTCCTCTCCCTTCAATTTCTCTCTCTCTCTCAATCTTTCTCCCTCGTTCTGTCTCCAAAGTTTCTTTTACTTCTCTTTCTCTCAATCTGCCTCTCTCGTTTTCTCATTCTCTCTCTCCCTCGCTCTCTCCCTCGCTCACACATACACACACACACACACACACACACGGAAGTGTATGCCTAGCTAGCAAAAGCAAAACTCGCCGGACTTTGCAATCCTTCCCCCACCCTCCCAACAAGTCTGACATCAACCCAACAAGTCTGGCATCAACCCGGCTTGCCAACTCGGGGCGCCCCCTCCTCCCTGCGCCTCCCGTGCGCCCCCTTACCTATTTGCCGACCCGGACGAGGGTAGGGGGGCTCCTACCAGGTCGGCCCCCAGCCCTGCTCCATGGCCAGGGGGAGAGGAAAGATCCCGGGGGGGGGGGACAGGAAGCCTTAGAAGCGAGGCGCTCTTGACTCCTCTGCGCCCCGATCGGGGTATCCTGAGCGCATCTCCCCGTTCAGAAGACCCCTCGTGCGCCCTGGGGTGGCCGGGGTTGTCTGGAAGCAACCTGGAAGCGGCGGAGCGCCATCTTTACCCCTCCTCTCTTTTTTTAAAAAAAACGCTACTTTCTCTCTCTCCTCCTCCTCCTCCTCCTCTCTCTCTCTCTCTTTTCCCGCGAATTATTTCGGTTGGGCTCCTTGCAAATTAGCGCGGCGGGTTTCCCTCGCGCCGCCCCCCGGCTCCTCCTTCCAAGTGGCATCTGAGCCCTTTCCCTCCCCCTCCCCTTCTCTCTCTCTCGCCCCCCTCCTCCGCCCAGGACGCCAAGCTTTCCGAGACCGGCTTTTCCCGCGCGCGGAGGCGGGGTGGAGCCTCCATAGCCAGGGGCAGTATACCTCGGAGTAGACGCAAACGCCCCGTGGCTGGGCGTGAAGAGCCGGCGAGCGATTCAGCAGCGCCTCTTTGCCTCGCCCGTTGGGAAGATTTGGGAGCTGGGCAATTGCGGATTTTGCAAAAAATAATAATAATAAATTTGTTTTTCCTCTATGGCTGGGCAGTGCCCCAATAAACGGGGAGGTTCCCCACCCCTATCCTTGAGTATAGGTAGTCCTCGATTCACAGCAATTCATTGAGTGACCCCTTCACCGGTTAAACCCCCCCCCCATTTTCTTTACAGGTATCAAAAGCACTGGGACGGTTCCTAAACTGCAAAAAAGAAAACTCCGCGCTATTTATTTCCACCCAAAACCTAGTTACAAGGTTTGCACTATAGGTTTTTTTTTTTTCCCCTAGTTGGGTCCTTGAACCCTGATCTGAAATATCTATGATGCCAAACTGGGGCAAAGCTTTGACACCCATTTTGGTTGGGAGTGACATCAGAACCAGACTAGAGCTGGAAGGGACCTTGGAGGTCTTCTAGTCCAGCCCACTATACGGTTTCAGACAAGTGACTGTCCAGTCTCTTCTTTAAAACCTCCAGGGATGGAGCGCTCATAACTTTTGGAGGCAATCCGCAAAAGAACCGCATTGGAAGGGACCTCGGAGGTCATCTAGCCCAACCCCCTGCTCCAGCAGGAGACCCTACCCCGTGTCAGACAAACGGGCCCGTCGGATCTCTCCCATTTCACTCCGTTACAGCAACCTCCCTGTTGAGTTTTTGGACTTAACGGTTCAAGCAAGAAGTAAGCAACGCCTTTCCTGGCACCGCTTCTGCTGCTGGCTGGCCTGAAAAAAAAAAAAAAAACGTTTACCAGTCTCTTTTTTTTTCTTTTTTCATTTTTCTTTTTCTTTTTTTTTTTTTGCAAGCAGCTTTTCCACTCTGCTGTGAGTCACGACGGAGATATGGTGAGCCCGTGACACAGTTCTAAAGAAATGTGGTTCATATCCTTCTCTCTTTCCTCTTCTTAATGTCTTTTGCAGAGAGGCAGGTGCCAACCCGACCAGTTTGATTCTCCCTGGGGAGGGATTGCCTTGCTTTGGACGGAAGGACAAGTCAGTGGAAGAGCTGGCCTCCTCCATCCCTGGAGGGTCTCAAGAAGAGTCTGGACAGCCATTGGTTCAGGATGGGGTGTGGGGTCCCCTGCTCGAGCGGGGGGGGGGTGTCGTCCAGCTCGCTTTTTGCTGTCATTTTTAAAAAGAATCAGATTGCAAGGAATTGTTTCATTTCCAAAGAAATGCGTCCTGATCACGAGACTTGCCTGTTGCACATCTAGAACTTAGTTGGAGGAGGAAGAAAAGTGATGGGAAGGATGGATGGATGGAGAAAAGAAAGGAAAGGAGAAGGAAGGAAGGAAGGAAGGAAGGAAGGAAGGAAGGAAGGAAGGAAGGAAGGAAGGAAGGAAGGAAGGCATTTTGGTTCTGTCAGCTCTACCCATCACACAATCTCCAGCAAAGTTTACTGTACCTCTTAAGGAATGCAATGCTGGAAAGAAAGAAAGAAAGAAAAGGCTTTCTTTTATGTAAAGCAAAGCAAAGCAACCTTCACCAGGATTTGAAAGCAATTGGAAAATAGATTCAAGAGCGACATGAGTGAAATTTCATGTTTTTTAAACAGCAAAATTGGGAAGGCAGCCTTCTTCAAGTAAAAGAAGGCCCGTGAACAGTACAATGTGTTCCATCCCAACCGCGTATTTTTTAAAATAAGTTCTGGAACTGCTTCTTCAGCTGCACCTTTAATCTGTCAGTTAAATAAACTACACACCGTATACACAATTAGGACTCGGCTATTAACAGTCCAGTCAATTCATTTTTTAAAAAAAAAATTAAATGAGGTGAACGTTGGCACTCTGGACCCAAATAAATAAATAAATAAAGGAATGCGACATTTCTCACACGCTACACCCCAAATTTGACACTCACCCCAAATCTGGCACTCAGCAAAATGATTTGTCATCTTGCCACACCAGCTTTGGGTTTTTGGCACGGAAAGGGAAACAGCTTTTAAACATGACACGGAGACAAGGTCCACTCACTCTGGATTTGAACCAGACAAGGAACGGATTTGGAGACAGGAAAACGGAGCGCGCAGCTCAGAACCAAACCAGTTTTCGCTGCTGGGCTGGATCAGCATTTTTTGCAGAACCGAATCAAGCCTATTGCAAAGCCGCCATCATTTGGTCACCTGAGATGTTTTCAGTGTGGCTCACAGCCTTCAAATATAATAAGAATAATAAAGTTGGAAGGGACCTTGGAGGTCATCTAGTCCAACCCCCTGCTCAGGCAGGAAACCCTTCACCCCAGAAAGGCGGGGGGCGGGGTTCATGAAGTGGCTTCCACAATGACCTTGAGGAACAAAGTGCCTTCTTTCAAATAAGTGTATTTTGGGGACTGTAACTTGGCCAAAGGGACGAATCGGGCAAAGCCGCTGGCCTCGTTCGTGTCAGCCGCTGGCCTCTGAAATGAGGCAGAGGTAGGGTCTGGGTGGAGAGAGGTCACCAGGTGGTCTCCATGGTCCTGGCTGAGTAGCATGAAGGTGATCTGCAAGGCGACAGAGGGAAAGAAGAAAAAAAAGAAGGAAGTTAGCTTCTTGGAGAGGCACTCTGCCTGAGCAGGGGTTGGACTAGATGACCTCCAAGGTCCTTTCCAACTTTATTATTATTAAGAAACATTGGGCTGTGTCTGGGCTCTCAGCAGCTTCAACCGACAGGTTTGCTGGCTCAAGGAGAAAGAGCAGATTCTTCCCTATCTCAAGGTCACCGGATAGAAGAATTCCTGTGGTTGAACAGATGGTGAGGACAACAGTAACTCAAGACCCATCCGTTGGAAAGACTTCCTGGAGGGGAGAACAGAGGGAAGAGCAGCCCACCCAAGTAGCACTCTTGCTTTGCACCCCAATCTGGACACAATCCACTCCGAGGGAGGCTGTCAGCCCACCTCGCAAAGCTTCTCCGTAGTTGGCAAGGAAGACTCTTCTCTCTCCTGCCAAATCTGAACTTTTAAACCTGGCCTTCGAAGTTCAGGGGCTCTCCCCATCAGTTCTAACTCACTCCTCCACCTTTCCCAGAAAGATCAACATTGCGCTGGATGAGTCCATTCTCAAAATATTCAGCCTACTCCTGAACAAGAGAGACGGTCAAAGAGAGCAGAAAGTCATCCCCTCCTTACAAGGAAGGGCAGGAGAAGAAGGATCAGGAGCCTCCCCCTAAAAAAAGCCACTTTTACGAAGGTGGAGGTCGTGACAAGGTCCCAAACATCCCACCTGGACCAGCTGTGATTGCGAAGGGGTCTCTTATCATCTTTGACG